AAGAGAGAGGGGCGCGGTGGTGAGCAAGACCACATGAGTCTCCAAGGTCCGCTTCTCCAGCCAGCCCATGGCCGTGACAGTGACTGGCCCTGCTTCTCCCTGGTGGCGGTATGTTGTGTGCCCTTGCTCGGGCCTCTCCTACCTGCAAAGGGCACCTCCATGACACGGTCCTTTTTTTTACTACAAAAGATGGGATTTTGCCTTCCTCTTGACCACAACACAACTTTGTTTAGAACACTCCCCTATCGTTGATTTGTGTGCAACGTGGAGCTGTAGATACACGTGTGCGTCCTCCGCTCCTATTCTAGACCAGAGGGGGTTTCCACATGCGCATCTTGGCCTTGTTCACATCATGGAGTCTGGCAGAGAAGACCATCCGTGAATATCTGTTCCCTTCATCAAGGACAATCATTATATCTGAACAACCTTCTCCCTAGGCCCAGGGAAGTCACAGAAACGGCACTCCCTTGGCCTATGATGACTTGGGCAAAGTGTCTCCATGCACAAGGGGTACAAATCACTTAGTCGACTCCCCTCCGTATGTGCGCTTTTACTTAACTCTTCCTGTTTTAGTTTTAACCTTATAGTTCACTTTGGGGAATGGGTTTAGGTAAGAGAGAGGAATTTGTCCTTATAACACTGCTAAACTCTGAATCTTACCTGTTTGGGAGGCATTGTTCTTTAAAAATGCAGAAGAATTTTTATATTTATGATCACATTTAATTTCCCCACTTTATCTTCAGGAAGGCAATCAATGGAGCTTCTCATGAGTTCACTGTATTTTCCATGGGTGACAAGTCCTTGTTTCCCAGGAGTCTTTAGGTTCCTCCTTGAGACCAAAGATCCCTTTGAGATGAGCTGAGGCCGATTCCTTTATCCTACCCCAGAGCCAGAGCAGCACCAGGGGGATGGTGGCAAACAGAGGGCCGCTCTGACCTCCATATTCTGTTCTTTCCCAAGGAAGATGCTCTGTTTTCCATCAAAAACAAGATCATTGTAAATGTCAGCACTCCACACCCATCTGGGCTCCTGAAAGCAAGCTGCCTGGTTTCTGAATCAGATATCATCACCCACTGAAGAGCCGCCTGCCTCCAAGCTCGGCTGGGTGGGAGAGACTTGCACATCCCCCAACGAAGCTGCCCCCTGCACCCCGATCAGATCGCAGGTGATCATTCCTTCCGAAAGTCAGGATGGAGAAGAAATGGACATTTCTTCTGAAAAGTCTCTGGCTCTTTGGGGACAAACAGTTAAGATAAATCCTAGTGGGTTCATTTACAGGCATGAACATTTTACTCCCCTAGGACCGCACAAAGCATTGTCATTTTTGTGGAGCACCTAGAAGATGCAGAAGGAAATGAAACATAGTAATATGGTCTATGGGCCACGATGTGTTTCCTAGGGGAGACCCAGGGCATGCTGTCTGAAGACTCAGACACAAGTCATGGCAGGCGAGCAGCAGAGCACTAAGATATTGACCAAGCCCGGCACAGATTTTCTTGGGAAAAATGCCCGGGTCCCCTCTGAGATGTGACCAAAACTCCCAGCCCCTGCTGCGTGGCCTCCTCCCAGGACTACCTCAAAGAAATGCTCACGAGGAAAAAGAGTTCAAGGGGCAGAACCTTGTGGCTATAAATAACCCATCACTTCATGGGGGCAGGAGGGGAGCCTCCAAAAATACAGTCACCTTCACAAACTCGTGAATTAATTTCCATTCATGAAAACTTATGTCAAGCAAAGGATTTCCAAACAGACTTTCATTACACCAAGCATTCTGACAGAGGGAAGGAAGAGCCATGAGAAACTCCTCTACTGGTGGCCAAATGTTTTTCTTCACAACCTGAAATAATGCTCTGACACGTGGATGGTTGGATGTTGTAACATCTGCAGATGCTTCCAGCGGAGGTGTTGCTCCATGAAAAGCGTTCATGCCTCAAGCAGAAAGACCTTCATAGATATACATTCAACACTGGAAAACACATAACAATATTTGTACATGATAGGGCTGTGTGTGCGTGCATGCATGCACACATGCACAAGTTACAAAACAGAAGTATGTCTTTCTCCTTGCACTTCAAGGAGGAAAGACTAATGTTTATTGAGGGTTGACAATGTGCCAAGAGCTCAGCATACCGCATCTCCCCATTTCATCCTCACCACAAGGCTGGGAGGGATGGACTATTACTATTAAACATTTTATAAGTGAGGACAAGAGGCTCTTAGAGGTCAAACCACTTGTCTGAGGTCCCCAGGAAGCAAATGACAGTCGATCTGACTCCAAAGCCCATGTTCTTCCTGCTACGTGACTCCGCCTTCTCAAGTTCCGACAAATGCTTTTGTTACCTTTTCCAGTACTCACCTGCACACCTTCCTGCTAGAGGAATTTCTACAGTTTATGGGAAATGTTGCTGGAAGAGCTGAGGAGGAGCCAAAGTTTTTTTTATAGGTACAGAAATGATAGAGGTCCAACACATTTTTAGGCTTTTTCAGAAGATACAGTACAAGGATACGGTCTTATCGTTAATGAGTATCTCATGCATATGGGATGCGGTGTCCTTCCGTGTCATATTTAGGACATACTTAAGCGGTATTCCAAGCACAAAGTACAAATTATCTGTGCCCCACCATTTTTGTCCACGGTTTCCGGCCACCATCCTCAGACCACAGTCTCAACTGTGGTGGTGTTGCCATTGTCTTCTTGGTGCCTGGGTTGCATTTCATCTTTGAAAGCCCTGGTCAGAACCACTTTTAAGGACTCCTTGAACCGCTTCTTCCTACTGCTGCCCACGAAGAAGTAAATAAAAGGGTTGGCGCTGCTGTTGATTGTGGAGAAAAGAAGAGAAATATGGTGCAAGTTTCCAAAGGCTGACCAATACTCATAATAGAGCAGGTACAGGAGCCTCATGGGCATGGCGAAAATGAGGAAGATAATGATGGTGACCATGATGACTATGTACAGCTTCGAGGAATGGGCCGTCCACGTGTTCTTTCGGATCTTAATCACCAGGATGGTGCTAGACACCACCATGAGGGGAGTGAAGACCAGGAAGCTCAGAATGGCAATGAAGATGATCACCGCCCTGCAGTCACTTCGAGAGTGACTCTGCCCTTCACTGTCAATGCACATGACGTACTCCATGGTGGTCACCAAGCACGAAAGTGCCCACAGGAGGGCACAGACAAAGGCCGACTGGTGCTTGGGGCGATGACATCGGTACCAGATGGGGTACAGGACGGATAGGCACCTCTCCACACTAATGGCCGTCAACAGATAGAGGCCCGTGTTGTAGCCAAACAGAAACGTCACTGATAAGGTGACAATCGTGTAGTAATAGCCAGAAGAGAGCTCATAATCTAAAGCATAGTCAACAGACAGAATAAAAATACAAAAGAGCAACGAGATGTCTGCAATAGACAAGTGGGTGATGTAGACTGTGAAGGGATTTCTTCTCATCCGGAAGCAGAGGAACCAGAGGAGGATTCCATTTTCGACAAAGCCCAGAGGGGAGATGCTCATAATTACCCAGTGCACAAATGGGATTTCCCGACGCAGGTCCCCGGCAGAGGTATTCCTGGAGGTGGAGGCGTTCGTGGACTTCTCATCAACGAATGACGTCACGTTCGACTCATCCATGAGGAGGCCTCAGGCAGGGGCTCTTTAGGTAATTTTCTATAAATAAGTAAAACAGAAACAAAAAAGACAGCATGAAAATTGATGTACTAGGGGAGAAGGGAAAATTTCAGCAACGGATCACGAACTTCATGTTATTAACAAATATGTTTAACTGACTGTACAATTCTTTTTCTGACAATGACAAAATTAGACATTTCACCAGAAAAGAGAACTGATTTCATGATTTTTCGGTCCACCAATAGCCCTTAATTCTGTATTATTATTTGCTTGTGGCTCAGTGCCAAAGGGATCCAGCAAAGCAGGAGGGTCAGAGTGCCTGGCGTCCATGTCTGGCCTGGCCCAAGCTTTCCGAATGGCATCTTCAAAATCATTCATCTTCTGCACCTTTGTCTCCCGTTTTGAGGAACCTGATTAATTGCATTCAGGTGCAAAGACAAAATATATGTTTGGTCAGTGTTGTTGCTGTCATTTTTTTTTTTAAATGAATGAAGTGCCGTATATGATGGATAAATGAGAGGAAATAGCTAGCAAAATTATGTTCAATCGTGTACCAATATTTTTGCAAGTGTGAACAATGAGAAGGCATTTGTCTTATGTGGTCTCGATATCTGTGACAAAACTGGGCACCTCCCCAGACTAGGTGAGCCAGGGAAACCAATGCTCTGAGTGACAGATGGTGAGCCTTAACGAGGTGTGGTCACATCGCCACAAAGCATAGGCCAGACCATGCAGGAAAACACTACTGACAGACATTCAACAAAGCACTAACTGGAAACCAACAGAAACACTGAATATTTGAGACGGCAAAGCAAAGATTCTCAGAAACTTTCTATCACATGTCTATGAATCGCAAAATAAATATATGCACAGTCCCCGCCCTCTTCCTGTTATGTAACAAATACACAGATGCCACTTCCCCCACTGGAGAAAGGACAAGGTAGGCCGCGGCAGAGATCCTCCCCCTGGTGCCAGCTTTAACTTGTCCTTGACTTTGTCAAGTCGTTGTTGTTGTTGTCATTTTGATGGTGGCGGTAAAATACTGTTCTTTGCTTTTTGAATTTTGACCTTGTAGACCAGCGTCCCTCCGTGCGCAAAATAATTAACCTGTAGGAAGTTGATCAAACCAATATTTTAAATTAATAGATATCTGCCTTTTCCTCACAAGCTTCCCTGAAGCAGAACAGTGCAGAGATGCAATACTTTATGAAGGTTGCACGTCTCGATGATATTAGATGTTTTTAGGATCGAGTCAGCAGAAGCCCAGCATTGGCACAACTCGGCGTGTGGGGCTCAGTACAGCTGTGCGTGACACCCAGACTCGCAGGCGGCCTGCTGAGAAGGATAGTTACCTCTCCAGTGGTGTGTTCCAGGAGCCCAGGGGACCTCCACCTCTGCTGTCCTCATCACCCATCTCCTGACTAGCACTTCCCTCAGCTGCTCTGATGAGGTACTGGCAATTATTTTCACTGGGGCAAGTTCTCCTTCCATTTCATAATTAAACAGAAGAAATAGACTCCAATACCTTCGGGAGCCCAGCACCAGGACCAGAATTCAGAATACTATGGCCTGGCTGACCAAAGATCTGTTGTAGAGACCAGCCTTTGTTAGAAGTCTGTAGGTAAAAGAGTCACATTCCCCACATTCACCCATCAAATATTTATTCAGAGCCAACTTCCTGCCAGGCACTATTCTAGGTGTTGGGACACGGCAGTGAAGGAAATAGATCAAGCATCAACCTCTTGGAGTCTCTGCTCCGGTGGGAAGGCAGTCAATAACCCAACAACAACCACAAATAAAAAGATGTCAAGTCCTAGTAAGTGCCACACAGAAAAAGCACAGACCATGCATGAGCTAAGATGTGGTTGTGGAGGCAGCAAGACATTGTTGGATTCTGGAGGCAATGTGGTTTGTTGGTGGATGAGATGTGTTATTGTAGAGAGAGAGAATGAGTTTTCAGCCATTTACTGAATAGGCAATGTGCAGTTGGAGTGGGTTAGGAGAAGTACACTGAGTTTGCAAAACCTATGCATGGGGTGCCTGGCTGGCTCAGTCGGTTAAGTGTCTGACTCTTGATTTTGGCTCAAGCCATGGTCTCGGGGTCGTGGGATCGAGTCCTGGGTCAGGCTGCACTCTCAGTGGGGAGTCTGCTAGAGATTCTCTCTCTCCCTCTCCTTCTGCCCCTCCCCACCTCTCTCTCTCTCTCTCTCTCTCAAATAATAAATAAATAAATCTTAAAAAAAAAAAAAAGAAAAGAAAAGCCTATGCAAATGGGGATGTCTAAGAGTGTCAGGAGCTAGGGAGACAGGTACACGCTGGGCATATAAATGCAGGTATTGTACGCAACCAGGGAGGATTTAAAATCATGAGGCTAAATGAGATTATCTATGAAATATAGGTAATTATAAAGGAAAAGAGGTCCAAAGACCAATCCTTGGGGCATTTCAAAGTTTACAGGTCGTGGGGAGGTGAAGAGAAAGAAGCAAAAGAAACGAAGAAGGATCTGGCAGAGAGGCTAAGAGACAACCAAGGGAGAGTGATGTCCAGAAAGCAGAAGTGCTTCACAAAGGTGTGATCAACTGTGCTAACTTCTACTCCAAGTTCAAAGTAGATGAGAGTTGGAAACGGACCATTAGAGTGGAGTCATTGTTGACCTTGATGAGAGCTGTTTAGGCAGAGTGGAGAAAACGAACGTCTGATTAACCAACATGGATTCCAGGGAGGATGGGAGGAGAGTAAGTAGAGACGGTGAGTATGGACAACCCTCTTGAGGAAATTTAATGTAAATTCAAGCAGAAATGGAACAGTAACTGGAGAGGGCTGCAGGGGTTTTGGGAGAGTTGATAAGCTAATAAGAATTTTCCAGGAGAGAAGAAAGAGTTGATGACTCATGACTTAGGGTTCTAGAGCTTGGTGGAGTTGCTGGCTTTTGCTGATAGCATAATTTATTCATCAGAGCAGAAGGGAAGGCAGAGTGTGTGGTTAAAAATGCAGTTAGGCAGGTAGGCTGACAGCAGGAGTGTTAGAAGTTGGAAGAAGTTCTCTTCTGAATGCACAGTATCTCCTTTTTCAGAAAGTAAGAAGCCAAATCATCAGCTAAGAGTGAAGAGAGGCAGAAGGTTCTCCTCATGTGGGCAGCATGTGAAATAATCAAGTGAACAAGGGAAAGGACCAGGGAAATACACAAAGAGCGAGATTTGGGGCAAACATCAGAGCCCACCAGTGGGTCTTTAAACCCCCACGAATTTAAAAATTCAGCATGACACGTGTTTTTCTCCAGCTACCGTTTGGCCGTTCAGGTGTGAGCACGGTGAAGGAGGGGGTTCGATTTAGCCAGGGCCGGGGTTTTCCCAGGCTGGTGCAACAGTGGACGAGAGGCGCCAACGGGATCAGACCACATGGAAGGGAATGGGCGCCATGATGGACTACAGAATTCAACGGGGTTAGGAGAAATGTGAGGTCCTGAGAGAAATGACAGTGAACAGGACACAGACGCCGTCGGATAGAGCCCGGTGTTGTCAGACGCCTGCGGAAGTCCAAGCACTGAAGGTAGGGGACCAGAATAAAGGAGGTGGGGCTGGAGAAAGGGTTGCTTGCAGCCAAGATTGTGGCAGTGCGGATTTGGGGTTATCGCCGTTGACGAGTGTAGAGTATGACCATGGGGAAGAACGGCGGAGGGAGAGTGGAGGGCAAGGTCATCTGAGGTGAGGTCAGGACCGGGAGCCAGGCTTTGGAAGACTTCTCTACACGAACGTTGAAATGACTGGGGAATAGTGGAATGTGGTTGTGGGGGGGGGGGGAGAAAAAACAGACTGTGCACTAGGTGCTAAAATCCTCAAGGAATTTGGGAACGCATCCCAGGGGTGTATAAATAGTCACAGTGAGGAGGGTCATAGGTAACATAGTTGGATGGTAGGTGCTTCAGAGCTGGGTGTTTTGTTGTTGGGGGTGGTGTTTTAGAGGCAGAAGAGAGGGAACAGAATAGTCTGGAGAACAAAGAGGGAGAGAGTAAGAAGGGTCTAAATCGGCACGAGCCAGTAGAAAGATAGTGCAAGCCACATGTCTTACGTTTTTCTAGTAGCTACATACAAAAAAACTAAAAAGAAACAGGTGAAATGAATTTTGATAACGATTTTATCTGACCCAGTGTGTTCAAAATATTATTTCAACGCGTAATCAATATAAAAAATATTAATGAGATATTTTACGTTCTTTTTCTCGCAGTGCGTCTTTAAACTCCCATGTGTGTTTTGTGGCCACATTTCGCAGGCTCAGTAGCCCCATGTGGCTGATGGCTACCCTATTGGACAGCCAGGTCGAGAACCATCACAAAACCGAAATACCTTATACAAGGAAGTCAAATGCTGTCATCTTTTCATAGCAGACCTAAATTAAAGACCAGATATGTCAAATCAGAACTTTTCTAATTTCTAATTGAATTCTAATCAGAATGTTTAAGAAAGCTGGCAAGAACATCTTTCTGACTCAGACTTGCATCCTCGAACATCTCACAGACCGCAGCATCGTGCGGCTACTCGTTACGTGCAAGAGAGCTGCTATGCCCTCCTCATAAAAGCCAGTTCGGAAAGGTGTTTCAACACATGAGATCAAACTGTAGTTTTCTTTTAAAGTCAAACCAAAGTAACCAAATTCACTTTCTGGAGAGAGATCACCCTCTGTCCATTTTCCAATAAACATTTAGATGTCAGTCACTGTCCCGAGTGTTCAGGATGAAGAAATAAATAAGACCCAGTCCTCTGCAGTTTTGTAGGGGGACAGACAGAACTAAACCTAATTCAATACAGGAAATGGAAGGAAGGGGTCCTTGACCACGTGCCAGGCAAGCACACAGCAGGAGGCAACGTCTCAGGCTTTCAAGGAAGGTTCTACAAGGCTGGGCCTTGAAGGGTCAGTAGGAGTTTGTTAGCTGAGGGAAGGAAGAAAGGCATTTTAAGAAAAAGGAACAGATGGACTGACCCATGGAGGCAGGAGGGCACAAGATGTTGGGGATGGGGTTCAAGAAGGTGGGTGGACCCTGGGCGGCAGCTGGGCTGAAGCATGACAGCCAGGTTTTGATGCTTCTCTAAAAATGTTAAGCTTCTTCTATAGACTATGCTTATCCAGCTTGGTGCTTAAAAATTACCTGGGATTGCTTATGAAAAAATGCAAATTCCAAGACCGCACTGTTTCAGAAAGCCTGGGAATGGGGCTCTGGAATCTGTAATTTCACAGTCCAGGGGATTCTGATGCCGGTGGGACAGGGGTCATGGCTGGAAAACCTCTGCCATTTGCACTGGGGGCCAGGAGAGGTTTCAGCGCAGGGCGGGGATATGCCCACACATGCGAGATCTTTAGAACATTATTTGCCACTGTGCGTTTGCCTGGTTGTGAATTTCAAATGCAGGAGCAACCCACAGCATGCCCCTCTTCCGTTCCCATGACTCTGGCCTGGAACCTCGGGAAGTATCTCCTTGCCTCCTGCCTCCTCGTTCCCTGCACCAACCATCCAATGCTCCCTTCGCCCACTCTGGTGTTCTCTCTCCTCGACATTCCTCCTGGCAGCAGAGTTAAAATTGCCTCTCCCCTACCAACCTGCAAACTTGTGGAAAACGGGGCTTTATCTTATTCGTGTCTGAATCTCCAGCACTTGGCACACCGTAGACATCCAGTGAGTACTTACTGAATTATTCCAAGAAATAAAGCCCATCACAGTGGTCCAAGAGAGAAAACCACCACCTCCAGCCCAGGACGTGCCAGTTAGTAGAAAGTTCTGTCGCAAAAGTCCCAAGGCAGATTTTGATCAGGATGTGATTGGAAAGCAAATAAAGATCCCATAAAAATTAATTCTTATTAAAAACTAATGATAACTCAGGGTGTCTGGGTGGCACAGTCAGTTAAGTGTCTTGACTTCAGCTCAGGTCATGATCTTGGGGTCCTGAGATTGAGCCGCCTTGGGCACCCGGCTCAACGGAGAGTCTGTTTCTCCCTCTCCCTTTGCTACTCTCCCTGCTTGTGCTCTCTCTCGCTCTCTCTCAAATAAATAAAATATTTTTTTTAAAGATTTTATTTATTTATTTGACAGAGGGAGACACAGCGAGAGAGAGAACAGAAGCAGGGGGAGTGGGAGAGGGAGAAGCAGGCTTCCCGCGGAGCAGGGAGCCCGATGCGGGGCTCGATCCCAGGACCCCGGGACCATGACCTGAGCTGAAGGCAGACGCTTAATGACTGAGCCACCCAGGCTCCCCTCAAAGAAACAAATAAAATCTTAAGAAAAAAAATAACAACTAATGCTTACTCTCCACATTGTTTTGTTAGAGTGGAGTTTTATTTAAATGACGCATTGCTAAAAATCGCATTCCCGGTCTTAACAAACTGAATTTCAGCCCCTCCAGGGAAATAGCAGGTGGCACAAAGCGCCTTGGACGCAGCTGGTCCGACACGCTCGCTGCCCACCCCCTTCCCCGGGGCTCCTTGGTCATTCTGTCCGTTATCCCCCCTGTCGGTGGCTGGCTAGGACATGTGAGGCTGGGCAGGAGGAGAGGCAGGGTAGCTGCTGCTGGTCGACAAAACCACCTAGCTCAGAATAGCACACAGCTGAGTTCTCAGAAAGCCCTGAGGACGCGGGGAAGCAATCACGATTAAAACCGAGAGTAACTTGTCTCCGTATCAGCGCAGGTCTAGTGCTCTGCACTCTGACCAGACAAGCAAATCTTTTTTTTTTTTTTTTTTTAACACAGCTCATCTTTAGAAAGACATCATATTTGCAGTGCTGTCTGTTACCTGGTGGTAACCATCCGGGGAGGAAGGAGAGCTCGTCCCTACAGCCCTCTGTGCCCTGATGTGGTCAATACCCCAACACCGCCTAAGATCTGGGTCAGAACAGACGGAGAGTTGAGTGGGGGATGGCACCCGTATTTGGCATGAACCACTGGCGGCATCATAGAAACACCTTCCTACCCTCTCTTCCTTCTCCCTGAAGAACCCCGATGGAAAAAGCAATACATCAGGGCAGGAGAAGGCCCCTGGGGCGGACGTAACCGTCCAAGGCATCTTCCCTTCAAGTTAACTTTGGATCCTTCAATCAGCTCCAGAAATGATAAGGAAGGTGTTACTGCCTCCGTTTTTATAAGGGAAAAAGGAAGGATTAGTAAGCAGGCCAAGGTCAGAGCCGCTGTGTCACGCATCTCCCCAGGGCACCACCCCGGGGTGCTACCGGGACCCTGCAGGGCATCGGGGCTGAAAGCTCCCGCAGACCCTGATCCCAGAGCCCCAGAGCCGCCCAGGGCAGGAGCCCAGACCCCGATCCTAAGGGAAGCCTGAGCCGGTCTCCCACTTAAAAAAGAAGTCCGAAACCACGGGTCTGACCAACCCCCCTCATTTTACAGACCCATAAATGGAAGCCCACAGTGGAGACATTGTGAGAGCCCCTCTCACAACCAGGTGGAGGCAGCCCTGTGGCTGGGAGCTCCCGAGGCTGACTCCGGGCCTCCTACTCTGCCCTGGGGCCGGACCCTATTTTTAAGACTTTACCTTTTATAGCCTGTTCTAGTCTGCCTCCAGTCTTCCTACTGGAGGAATTGAAGGCATCGGATTCCCTAATGTTATGGGGGATTTTTTCCCCCCAAAGACTTGATGACTTTCTAATTGTGAGTTTGCCAGAGTAGGACGGGGGCTGTGTGCTCTCTGCATCCAAATCCCACTGGGAGGGAAGTAGCCACAGGCGTGCGCTGAACTGCCTCAGGGGAGACAGGGCTCAGCCACCACTAGACATGCACCCCCACACGCTCATTTTATGATGTCTCATCCCAGCCCAAAATGGGGGTATTTTCTAAATGTTATTGCCTTTTTCTCTAATTATAAAACAGTATGTGTTCACTGAAGAAGATTTGGAACATTTAGTGGGGGAAAAAAAATCACAAGTAAAACCACTAATCAAAATTAATCTGCTTTCACGTTCGAGGATATTTTCTTCTCGTCTTGTTCCTAGGCGTGACACATGCTCCTTTTTGAAATTGAAATTGCTTTTTTAATCTGTTTTGGTAGCCTGCTTTTTTTTTCTATTCATACTCAATACCATATTGTAAACATTTTCTCTGTCAGCATGGTCTCTAAAGACATGATTTTCCTAGTCACTATTTGGACGAACCATAATTTAGTTTTAATAATTCTCTAACCCTGGACATACCTGTTGCTTCTTATTTTTCATCCTTATTTCTAAAAACAAAGCACTGTAATGAACTTCCTCGGATGCCAGTTTTGTGCACATCTTTAATTATTTCCCTAGGACATATTTCTAAAAGTGGAATTGCTGGATGAAAGGGTATAAATATTTTTGAAGATTTTAAAGCATATTAACAAATTGTCTTCCAAAAAACACCTGGACCAATTACACAGACATCTACAGTATATGAAAGCTTTTTTTCTCCACAGCATATACATGCATATACTCTCTACCCCCCAATACAATATCTCCATCTTTTTTTTAATTTGCAAATTTAGTAGGTGATAAAAGATTCCTCGTTTTACTTTGTATTTATTTGATTGCTAATGAGTTTAGATGTTCTTTCCTGTTTAACATTCACTTGTCTTTCTTTTTTGATGAACTATTTTTCTTCTTCACACCACCTCCTTACTGCTACAAGTCTGTCTGCTCTGTGTTGGTCATAGACATTTGGAGCTTAGAGGAATCCTGTATTTCTCAGGTGAGGAAGCTCAGCCACAAGCAGCCCAAGATCACATCTTGAGTTAACAGCAAGGCCAGAACCAGAGCCTACATCGCCCAGGTCCACACGAGCACTGTTTCTACTCCCCACGCCAGTTCTTTGTCAATGGGTCATGGACGTGGGAAGTTCATAACCCATACACTTGGTCAGTAAGACTTTTGGGACATTTAATAACAGCCTTAATGTCATCAGAATCCATCACCACCATCAACTTGATTGTCAGTAATGGTCTTTATTAAAAGCTTCAAAGGATGGACTTTTATTAAAGGTTACTTAATAAAAGGATGGATTATGTATTGTCATTGAAGGATAATAACTGCTTATTAAAAGATGAATATTATTTATTAGAGGATGGATTTTTATTTATTAAGGTGCCATCTACCCAATGCCAAACTCATAACAGCAACCACAAAACAGGAATGAGCTGCTTTCAGTTTCTTCTGATCCCCGTTTCTTCTGTGAAGGGGAATGACCCAGAGTCATCACCACCATCAACAAACACTTCTATTGATGAAGGGCACCATTCTTCACCGTTTTAGGTAGTGATTATTGAAGTCAGACGGGAACATTCAAGTTATGGCCTTTCATGAGGACAAGTAATAAGAATGAGCTGCATCCATCAGTCAGCATTGGGCTTTTAGATGAGTCTTCCAAAAGGGAGGTGATTTCGCCCTCACCCTGCCCCCCAGCACACACACAGAGGGTTATGGCCTCTTACTCCACGTCTCTGCTGTGGGCTCCATGATGACACCATTGCCTAGACCCGCTTTCTTCCTCTGGCTCTCCCCCTGGCTACCTGCAGCTTCTTCTCCGTCACCTCTCCTGGATCTCTTCCTACAGAGCTCTTGGGCTGCTGGGGACCCTTGCTGACCCTCCGCCCTTCCTACTCTACAGACTCCCCCTGCGCGGCCTTGTCCAACCTCCTCATTCAATATTACCACACTCTGGTGACACCAAAATCTCTAGCTCTAACTTGCCAGCTCCCCAGAATATCAGACCCTGTAACCCCTAGTCCTGGAGGTCTCCCATTGGGCGGCTCACAAAGGCATGCCAGCCCCAGCCAACCCAAAACAGAAATCAGACCTTCCCGACAGTTCCACGCTTGCTCTGGTATTCCTAGTCTTCTAAGCCAAAAAACTAGGTATTTTACTAGGCTTTACTCCTCTTATATGTTCCCTGCACCAGTCCCTTTTGTATGTTATTTGTATTATATGTGGTATTTTATTTAAGTTTATTTATTCATTTGAGAGAGAGAGAGAGAGAGCGGGGGGAAGGGGCAGAGGGAGAGGAAAAAACCTCAAGCAGACTCCACACCGAGCGCAGAGCCCAACTCGGGGCTTTATCTTATGACCCTGAGATCATGACCTGAGCCGAAGTCAAGAGTCTGACACTCAACAGACTGAGCCACCCAGGCGCCCCTTATATGCTGTATTCTTATAATGAAATAAGCTGGAGAAAAGAAAATGTTATTAAGAAAATCACAGGGAAGAGAAAATACATTTACAGTGTTGTACTCTATTTATCAAAAACAAAACAAAACAAAACCCTGCATGTAAGTGAATCCAAGCAGGTCAAACCCGTGTTGTTCAAGGGTCAACTGTGTGTGTGTGTGTGTGTGTGCGTGCAATGGGTTCCCATCAGCATCCCTGATTTCAATCCAACACCGCTGAGTACAGTTTTGTTTCTTTCTCTCCACATTTCTAACTCCCTTCTCTGATGGTGAGAAACTTGACCCCCATTATCCTCAACATATTTACTTATTTGATCCATCCACAGTTAGTAAATCACCTCCCATGTCGGCCACTGCCCATCTCCCGCCCCTGCACCGATGCTCCCCCGACGCAGTCAGGCCACTGCCGCCACTGGCCTCTGCCCTGGGACCCGCTCCTCACGCAGCAGAAGCTCTGACCCTGGTCCCCTCCCCATCCCGTGCAGAAGCCCTCACCCTGGCTGGGCTGCCCCCCGCCCCCGTGCTTGCAGCTCAACACCTCACACACGTCACGGTGAGCCAGGCTGATGGTGGTAGAGGGTATACTTAGCACCCACCTACCCCTCGCAAAAATCAAAAGAATTACAGGCAATTTGGCATCTGAACACAAAAGAGATGTTTGAGAAGAGAGATTTGACGTTGTTCAAATCACACTGCAGAGATGCCCGTCTATTCTGCCTCTGCCTAAGGCTACTTTGCCTCAAAGCCACATTTTTAAAGTGGCCACTAGGTGTGAGTGCTAAGCAAAGCAGTCTGGCCCCTTGACCCTCAGTTGCTTCACATAACTGGCATTTTAATGTATTTCTGGAAGGCTGGGGTATAAGGAAACCTAGGTATTGAAAAGCACATTGCCAGTATGAGTCTTGTGGAAATGCCAAATGGAGATAATGAATCAGCAAGCAGGGAAAACAAGTGTGGTGGTTTCTATAGACATTTAAGGATGTGGGCTTTGCAGAGCCCATGTCCTGGCAGGTCTCCTCGAAATTGCTACCTGCGTTTGCCTCTCCACGAAAGGGACAGGAACAGATGGACCGTGGAGCTGACAGACAAGCAAGGAGACTCAAAGAAGGCTGAGAGTTGTGGGGTTTCTTCAGCTTTATCGGGGCACAAGGCAGAGAATTTTAAATGCTATACATTTTGCTTCCTGAAGTTTTCTCTAGAGATCTAAGAAGCAAACATGCTCTTCCACATTCGCATTCAAGGGCCACAGTCCTCCCATGGTCCTGGATTCCCAGCCTGCCACATCACTCTTGGAAGAAAGAAGGAAGGGAGGAAGGGAGGAAGGGAGGAAGGAAGGAAGGGAGGGAGGAAGGAAGGAAGGAAGGAAGGAAGGAAGGAAGGAAGGAAGGAAGGAAGGAAGGAAGGAAGAAGGAAAGGGAGGAAAAGGAAAGAGAAAAACCAACAAAACTAGGGCTTCACCGTGGGTCATCTGAAGCCTTTTTTTGTTCCTCCGCAACCAAAAAGAGAGGCCTGACCCTAGGCTGGACCTCCCAGGTGTGCAGCTCCAGAGGAAAGGGCAAATTCCTCCTTCTGTGTGTGTGCAGTAACCTGGACAAACAGAAACCTATTTGTGAGATGGAATTTCCATGGCAGGTAAGGGATCTGATGGCAATGTGCAGGGCAGGGACATCTGTCCTGGTATTAAAAGCCTCGTCTCCAGCTTCCTACCACTTGAGCCATCTGCACGGAGAAGCAAAAACTTTCTGCTCCCTCTCCAAGTGTACAGCAGGATCAACTTACAACACTGGCCTCAGGGCAGGGGGATGCAAGGGGCTGATCCTGTCCCCTAGAAGTCATTTGGCCTGGAGATTTGGGTTGTTACAGCTGAGAGGAGGGGTCCATCAGCGTCTAGTGGTTGAAGCCAGGGATGCTGCTGAGCACGCTACCACGCACGGAACAGCTCCCCACAACAAAGAATGATCTGGCCGGAATGTCATGGTGCAAGGTTGGGAAACCTTGCTCTAGAGGGAGCCTTGTTACGGCCTTCTCGTTGCTGCTTACCAAGCAATTGAACAACATCCTATACGTTGTTTCCCCAAACGACCCCCACCCCTGTCCTGGAAATAATTGCCAAAGGACATCAAAGAGAAGATGGAGCAGGAGATTTCTTTGAGTTGAGCCTTGCCGCCCATGGGCTGCACGTCCGAGTTTATAAGCGACAGAAGCTAGGACTAATTCTGGTGCCCACTAAGGAAAGGCACACACACAAAAATCAATCCAGCTTGCCTCTGGCCATGCCCAACTGCTCCTGGTCCAGAGATTTCCCCAGAGGAATCAAATATAGTACACCCCTTTCAGACCCCAACTCCTTTATCCCTCGTAGCAACAAATTAAACAGCCCTGAACACCCCCCACGTCCACATCAGACTCATGAATCGATCCTCAGTTTCTTGCCCCCATCACGAGTCAAAGAGAAAAAGCGAACACAGAAGTTTCAACCCCGAAGTTGAAAAACAGCGTCGGAGGACAGTTCACCCGGCAAGGAAGCGAATTTTCCAAAACAAAGGCAGGAAGGAAGATACAGAGGTTTTGGCCAACACACAGCGTATCTCTAACACACCGTAAAAGCAGCGGGCACAGAAAGGGTTGCCCGGGCAATAGGTTTTTGAAGAGGGAAAATCTTACTCTGGTTGCCAAGGGCAGCTGAACAATTAAAACCTGGGGTGCAGACTCACTAGCTCCATTTGCTCAGGGAGGGTCAGAGGTGGCAGCAGGGACGGTGCCCCTTCGAATCCTGGGGCCCCACTGCCCCGCCAGCCTGTAGGGTCTCCGAGGGTCCCCACGTCTCCGAGGACGGCTGCAGCCTCCTTCTCTGAAGAAATCAGAGCTACTCTCCCACTGCTGAAAATATTTGAGATGTGCCAAGCAGATGGTCCCACGCTTATCAGCAGAAGCCGTGCTTCAAATGGCATCATTCAGTGAAACGCTCAAGTGAAAATCTTCACGCTGATCCAGAGTGGGAACGAGCTGGTGAGAATGTGGGGTGGTTGACCCCCGGGGAGCCGTCGGGGCAGCCAGGGCTCAGGAGAGAGGTGATCCCGAGGAGTGGTCTACAGAAGGGCAAAAGCCACGTGGGTAGCAGACAGAACCACTCCCCTCCCCGACAGCCTGGAACCGGCCAACTGGTCTCTGCAAAGCTCTGTTTAAGACTCTGTTTTCTCGCCTGTAAAATGGGGCCGATCCTATTACCACCAAAAGTTGGAATGAGGAAATGAGATGCAGATGTCGATGTCGACCTGCACAGTGAGGGACTCGCTGTTCGGTAGTTGAGTACCCGTTCCCTCCCCACAGCCCATGTTCAGGGTCACGGCCCATGTTAGTGTGCGAGCATGAAGCGGGGGAGAGAGCGCGCCCAGGAGCTGGGTGCCCAGACCACTTCTCCGCCTGGCTCGGACACTCACCCCTCCAGCAGCTGTTCCTGCGACATGTTTTCTCGCCCCTGCAGTCACGTTACCCTTCCCGCCCGACCCCTGTCCCCTCTCCAACAGCCCCAGTGTAAAGGCCTAAAGTCCCAGCCGGAAAATTCTGGATGGTTTGACTCGCCCAGCCCTGGCATGAAGACCCACCCTCCACTTGTGGCCGTATTTCTTCCTTGTCAAAAGCATCCCGTCATGGTTACTGTGTCAAAGTAGTGATGGACCCGGGGGACCAATTAGATCGAAACAGGGCGAGAAGGCGATTTCAGATTCTGTGGGAAAGCAGACTTGGGAGCCCATGCGTGAGGCTTTCCTCTGACTATTTCCATAAGCAGCAGGACGGAAGTGAGCCCTACGGCTCCTGTGGGAAGCCCGAC